CACACACACACACACACACACACACACACACACACACACACACACACACTGAACCCTTCCATCCCAGGTTCCAACAATTCCCTGGGGTGACTTTTTATACATTAAAGTATTCCCTTGAAGGGTAAAGTCAGAGCCTTCTCCTCCCCCCGACCATAGCTGTAAAGTGCAGGACCCTCTAGTAGGACTTCTTCTAGCAATGCCATACACTCTCCTTTGAGTACAGGGGAGGATGGTAGGCGGTACCAAGGTTCTTGGTAGGGCACATGAGGTTGAGGGTATTTGTCCCAGCCACTGGCTTCCAGGGGCCAGCTAACCTAACCTTTCAGTCCTAACTTGGTGAACTAGTCCTTGACAGTCACCCCTTTCCCCAATCCTCATCTTCAAGCCCAACCAGCCCTGGTTTTTTCTTTTCTTCTTTTTAAATTTCTAGACAGTTTGGGAACAACACAAAAAGGACTAGGCTTCCATGGGTGACTGGTGCCTCTGAGCCTCCCCGAATTGCACAGGAAGAGAAGGCACTAGGGTTACACATGACGTCCCTTTCCTGATCCCTATCCCCTCCTGGCTGCTTTGTTTTGTTTTTAGGGGGAGGGGTGTCCCAGACTGTGGTTGGGACTCCTTAAAGGAGGAGTGGGTGGGGGAACGTGGGTGGAGAAGACTAGGCCAAGCCGGTTTTGCCTGCCCTTCTCTGCTCCCACTCCCCTCTGCCATGGGCTCTGCCCCTTCCTTCCTACCCTCCTTGTCTCCCACCCCGCGCTGGGGCGCCCAGGGTGATCGGCACCTCGGAGACGCCCATCATCATCGTGGGAAACAAGCGCGACTTGCAGCGGGGCCGCGTCATCCCGCGCTGGAACGTGTCGCACCTGGTCCGGAAGACGTGGAAGTGTGGCTACGTGGAGTGTTCGGCCAAGTACAACTGGCACATCCTCCTGCTGTTCAGCGAGCTGCTCAAGAGTGTGGGCTGCGCCCGCTGCAAACACGTGCACGCAGCCCTGCGCTTCCAGGGGGCCCTGCGCCGCAACCGTTGCACCATCATGTGACCTCCCTCCCCCTCCGCCCTCGGGGCTGGGGGCCACGCCAAGGTTGCTGCCCCTGGCTGGGGGGGAGGCAGGGGCAGAGATGCGAAACAGAGCCAGCCGAGGGTGGCAGGGTGGGGCATTTGGCTATAGTGGCCAATACAGGATTGAGGGTCAGGGCCCCTGTTGGGAGTGGGGGGAGGGTCCTCAGAGGTAGCTGGAAGGGGTGCTGATGGGGATGAGGAGGGGATTAGAACCTGCAGCCCAGCACAGGCCTGATGCGCATCCTAACACTCAAACACACTTACACTCCCCCCACCCCCAACTACTCTGTCCTACCCTGGTGTGAGTCAAGGGGGTAAGGGAAGTGTTTCATAACTGCCTCTATGGGATCCCCAGTCCTTAGTCCCTCCCCACCCTAACATTTGTCTTCCTAGGACAGCCATACTCCACAATGTAGCCTATAAACACTCCCCCTCCCCGATTCCGCTGCCCTCTGGGTTTGGGGGTTCAGGGTTGGAGGGAACCCCTGCCTCTTGGTGAATCCATGCCACCTTGGCCTAAGGCTGTCACATCTTGAGAATCCATCCCTGTCCAAAGTCTTCCCATTCCATTTCTGTCTGTCTGTCCCTCTTTCCTTCTATGTAGATGTCTACCTTCTGTCCATCCCCAATCCCCTGAACTCTCCTTTTCCATAGGGCTCTCCTTCTTCCATCTCCCTGCCTCAGGTCTGTGTGTGTCTGTGTGGTCATCCCAAAGGCCTGTTCAGCACAGCACCAGAGGGGGTAAAAGGGCAGAGAAACACCGATGGCCTCACTGGGACTAGGGTCATGGGGCTGCAGTCCCAGGTCAGCAAGAGGGGAAGGGGGCAGAACCTCCAAAAGTGAAGCTGCCCCCTCCCTTCTCTCTCCAGGTAGACTTTTCCCACCCAGCAGCCTCCAGAGACACAACTCACCTACCTTCCAGCCTTAACTTGATGGCCTGGTACCTTCAGGTACTCCCTTCCCTGACCCTCCAACCCCCAGAGCCAGATCAACCTTTGGTTTGAATATTTTACTTTTAATTAATAGACAGTTTGGAACCAAAAAAAAGAAAAGGCAAAAACAAGATCAGGTTTCCCACGGCATCAATTTCTTCATCCTTTTGCCCTTTTAGAATTGGGACATCTGAGTCCCCTGCAGGGCATGGATGGTGGATGGGACAACCTCCCCAGAGTGGCTGGGCTCACCCCCAGGAGGCCAAATCATGGGGTAGAGTGTGTCCTCCTCTCCTCCCCAACACGGAAAGGGCAAACAGGGCAGGCCTCCCTCAGACACCTGGGCACAGGCTCAATTTGCCCAGCTTCTCCCTGCTGTCTTTGCCTCTCTGATTACTTAGCTCCTCCTACAAATCCCAGACAAGCAAAACTAGGAATTGAGATAAGCATGGGGATCCCTCCCCCCCTCCCTAGATTTGTCCCCAACCTCCCCTTGGGATGGAGGTCTGTTTGGGAGCTCCCCTCCTCCTTCTGGCTGGCCCTCTTTCCCCATTGCGGCCTCAGCCCTCTCCCCATTTTTGCCGGCTCCCTGGCCGGATTTCTACCTCTTGTCACCGGAGCTCATCACTGTCAGTTTTTTAGAAATAACAATAATAACGATGAAAATGACGCTAATAATAATGTAAGGGCTAGGATGCTGGCTCTCAGAGCTGGGGGGGCACAGATAGAGGGAGAGAGAAGTCATTCTGTGTCCCCACATATATGCTGTGTCACCTACCAAGGGGTAGACCATGTAATAAGCTAAACCCCACAGATCTGTATTCAGTGGTAAAACAGTGGGATGGCATTTCTCCAGGGGTGTCTAAGTCGACTCTGCCTGAGAACTCAGCTTGCAGGACAAGATAGATTGGGTCCAAGGTGAGGTTTGCAGATAGGGTTGAGATTGGGAAGGACCCTGGGGATATGGGTGAGTTTATCATTAGGATCTAGGGTGTTGGGAGGGGCCTGTGGTATTCTGTTTCCCCAGCTGGTCCCCCAGTCTCCCCTAGAGAGATAACACAGATTTGTAATAGTCCCAATGCTGGGCAATCCAGGATTCCTGGATTCTAGTCCTTGACATGCTGTGTGATCTTAGACAAGTTGCTCTCCCTTTCTGAGCCTCCCTCTGAAACAGAGGAGATGGCTCCCCTTCCCCACCCCTTCAGGTGGCTGGGAGGGTGAACGAGAATGCCTCACCTCCTCCTTTCCTTATATCACTGCCCCTCATTCAGGGGGACCAGAGATGGGAAGGAAGAGTGATATCTTGGCTGCCCCTGTCACATTCTAGCTCCAATGTATCTTCCCTGGATGGGTGTGAATCCTCTGAAAAGGTGGGCAGGGGGACCAAGGCCTTTGGTTCCTCCCCGCCCCACACACCCCCTTGGTGGAAGCTATCCGAATGTATCACCTGACTGATTCTCCCGCGCCTTCTTTTGCTTCTTTGGATTTTTGGATCCCCCCTCACCCTCCCTCCAGTCTCTGTTCCTCCTCTCCAGGGTTTCCGGCCATAGGGTCTGGAAGTGTCTGTAAAGCTTGTTGCGCTGTTATGGGAAGTCGGATTAAAAAAAAAATCAGGGAGTTATTTTCCCTTGTTTCTGTACTGAGGAGTCAGTTGGATCTATCTTTGGTAGGAGGATGATACTGGAACAGGTGGGGGTAGGGGTGGGGGTGGGGGAAGGGGCTTATTCCTGGAGTCCTAAGGTTTCTAGGAGTGAAGAGACAGAGCCCAGACCCTTTCCAAAGAACAGACGACCACCTAGCTACCAGTGCCAACCCTTTGGGCTCAACCAATGGACAGAAATTCGAGGTTAGTGTATTTAAAGAGGGGCATACAGAATAGCTAGTAAGAATTTCAGAGAAGGAGATCCATAGGATGGAAGTCTATCTGAACTACATCCCCTACCCATATACTTCATCCAAGGCATCCAGAAGGATGTCTGATCTCCTAGTTTTCAAAACCAGTCTACCCCTTCCCATTTCACTCTTCCTCTGGGGGACTTATTATAAAACAGTACTATGTAAAGGGAAGAACACCAGGTTTAGAGCCAGAGGACCTGGGTTTAAATTCCAACTCAGCTTCTTACTAGCTGTGTAACCTCGGGCAAATCACTTAACCTCTCTGGGCCTTGGGTTTCTTCAAGTTGGATTTGATTATCTTTAAAGTCTCATTGAGGTCTAAATCCTATGATAATCTGATGTATAACCTGGATCCATCCTGTTTATGTCAAGCACTTTTCTTCTGATTCTTTCTCCATCTCCCCAGACCCACCTATAAGACCAGCCCATAGCCTCTTTTATAAGCTGAGTGACTTTATGAGCTGAATTCTTTAAATATTCAGATCTTAAACTGCTGTGAAGATGTTCAATTCTTGGTAGACAGAAAAATCCCCCTACCCATTTACTCTCACCTTCTTCTCCTCCCAAGGTTGTGACGTGTCCAACCACTTCTTGGGTGAGGTCCCTGAGCCCCCCTCCTGCAGTGTGGGACACTCCAAAGAGCACCCAATTTTGAGTTAGGAGACTTGGGTACCAGTCCTGGCTCCACGACTAACTATGTCACCATAGACAAGTCAGTTCACTCTTATGAACCTCAGTTTGCTCATCTGTGATACTTATTTCACAAAGTTGTAATCCAGAAAAGTCTTTGGCAAATTTCAAGTATGACAGAAATGAGTCTCTGTCCTTGCCTTTGTCAAAGGTTGAAGGGGGAAGCAGGCCCTCAACAGTGCCATACCCTAAGATGGTGACTGGAGGGTGGTTACACCCTGTCTCCAGAAGACCAAGAAGTGACGAAGTAAACATGACTCCCCATGTCAGTGTCCTGGGACAAAGCTGGGAGTTTGCCTCCTGTTGGTTACGACTCTATACTTGGTTATCAGCCCAAAACTCAGAGAGAGAAGGACATATGAATTAGCCTGCTCCAAAAACACTTGTAGCTTTAATAATTTAATTGGGAGCGGAGACTCAGGCTTGATCCAGAGGTCTGTGGAGTTAAAGGTAAGAAGGTCAGGAATTGGCTCCTGGTTGGAGGAAGGGAGTGGGAGTCACATGAAGTTGTAGAGTGGTTTGGAAGTTTCCCTTGCCACCTTCCAAAATGGAGTATGAAAACGAGGAGGACTTGTGTCCTCTGCACAACGGAATGGACTGAAGCAATATTTCAGCTTTGGCCTCTTTAGCGGGAACCCTGGGGCAAAATGTGGAGGGAGGAAAACCTCCCACCTTCTGGGAGTGGAGTGGGGTGCAGCGGAAGGGTTAGAAATCTGAAAGTCGTCAATATCATACCCTTGTCCCTCCCTGTCCCCACCTCCACACACTGAGCAGAGGGGTGGACCACGTTCGGATTCCACTTCAGACCCAAGACTCCTCATCGTCCTGTGGGAGCCAAGATGGACCAGCGGGTTGTGATCCCAGGCTTTCAGTGGACAGGGTAGTGCTAATCTCTGATGGGGAGATTTCTTCCTCATCCACTGAACTCCCATCTCCTGCACTACCTACCCGACCCCTCAATCTAGGGGAGGTAGGAGGCACCCTGGCTCGGCTCTGGCGGTAGGCCAGGGGAGTGGGAATCCGGGAGGGCCGCTTTTCTGGACGATGGTCTCGACGAGGTCGGATCTTGGGTCTCAACTTTAGCTTGTAAATGGATGGTATCCTCTCTGGCTTCTTCAACATCCTCCTGCCTTTCCCTATGGGTACTTTGGACTTTTCCAAGTCTGAGGTTGGTATAGGTTGAGATACTTCATTGCCATTGGCCTCAGGGACTGGAGCCCCGGACTGGCCTCCCTGCTGTCCTGGAGCTGGTGCTCTTTTCACTTTTGTGCCTCTGACCCCTGCACCAGCCTTCCTCCCCACCCCATTCTCTTCCAAGTTCCTCTTTCCCTCTGAGTCACATTTGCTTTGGGCTGGGTCTAGCTCAGGAGTATGCATGATGGGCATCCCCCAGCCACCCATGTCCACCTTGAGGAGGGCTGGGGGCTCTAGAGTCAGTTCTTGAATGACACTATCATAAAGAGCCCCAGGTACTGGCCACAGTGCCCCGGGGTGGGGGACATATACACCACTTCGAGGAATATGCCGTTCTGGGTGGGCTCCTCTTGCCTCTAGCACCTTGGTATTGATCAAGATCTCATCTTCCAGGTTCTGGTAGAGTGACTGTTCCTTGGCCTTGTCAATGGGTAGAGTGGTGAATGTCTGTCTTCCATGCTGGTACCTGGGTGGATGGTCTCTTCCAGCCTCTGTCACAGTTCCCAGTGTCTGATCCTGGCCTCCTGACCTCACCTCCAGGGACTGACTTCCATTTCTAGACTGAGGAGTGTTTCTTCCTCCAGCTCCGACCGTTATGGTTGTGGGGTCTCTCCCTGTTTCTGTCGTGGGAGCTGGGATACCATTTCCAGATTCTGAGGGACTCTCCCCTGGTGTTAGTGGGTGGCTGGGAGCTGAGCAGATGGGGATCTTGGTGACCCCTTTAATGGGGGAAGAAGATCGGACAGCTCCAGGGTCCTTAAGTTGGGAGGCAATGACTCTTTGTGCCTGATCCTGGGAAGGTTTCCCAATACCCAGAAGGGATTGTTTGAGGGTAAAGGGCTTAGATAGATTGGAGGAACCAGGTAGGGTAGAGCGAACTCTTCCCAGTGGTTCTTTAGGAGCCATCTCAGGGGCTGAAACCTTCTGAAGAATAGGATCAGTGACGAAGCTTCCTTGGGTACCCATCTCTCCAGGGCTCCAGTGGGTAGGGGTTCCTCCCCTGGGAGCCTCAGGTGAGTATCTGCCTTTCCATTGTCCTAAAGGAACCCGCTGCAAATCCCGTCCAGTCCGTGTGAGTGAGGACTGGGGTTTGGGGGATACATCTCCAGCTGGTGACAGTTGACGGGATGGGGTGGCTGATCTTTCCCGGATCCTGCAATAGAGTCAGGGGGTTCGAGTGGCATAGTTTCATCCAACCTCCTGCCTCTGGAGAAGATGACTTCTCCTCAACCCCCAAAAGACTTCTCTTATTCTGGAGAAAGAGGGACCCTCACCCTCTCATCCTTGCTCACTGATGAGAAAGATCCAGCAAAATCTATTCAGCTCTGATTTCATCATGTTTTGTCGCTCGTTGGATAGAAATTGGCTAATCTCCACCCCTTAAAATAACCGCCTTCTCCCTTTGATGTGAATATGATAGTTGTCTCTCCTTCCACTTCTCTAGGCTCAATATTCTCACACCCCCTCACTTCCATTACTTTCCCCATTGGGAAGGGAAAGAATTAGAAGACTAGTCAGGTCTGGCTTTCTGACTCTTCCCAAGGAAGTTGAATGAGTTGAGCGTTAGCCAACAGCGCTAGGTCAGACCTGGAATCTAAGCCTGACTCTACCGATAACTTGAGTCAGTCAACACCTCATCTTCAAGTTGAGGAAGCTGGATTAGATGACTTCTAAGAGTCTCATGTAACTCTAACATTTCCTGTTCAATGATGATGAGGCAGGGGAGGGGAAGGGGTGTCAGAGAAAAGGCAAAAAATCAAGTGTCCAAGATTGGGGTGTAGAGAGAAATGGGAAGGAGGTGAAAAGGAGACTGGGGAGAATTAGGGAGTTGTCCTGAGAATGGGGGGGGGGGGTGCCAAGGGAGAAAGGAATATTTCCTGTTTCCCCTCCATACCTCTGAGGTGCAGCTGTCTCTCCTGGAGACCCCCCACCTGCCCCCCACCTATCGTGAGGTCTTGGGGAGCAGGAGGTGGGAGGTCTCAGCTTACGGCCTGGGGGTGTGTATGTCTTCCAATCCACTGGGGGCAGAGGACTCTGGGAGCGGCTGACGGTCAGAATGGGCTGAGGTTGTGTAGAACCCCCTTGTACTCTCACCTCATGCTGTACTGGGGGAATCTGTGGCTTCTGGAGGCTGCCCATCTTGTGAGCTGCCAAAATAATCCCCCCCAGGAGTGGGGAAGCAGAGAAGGAGAAAAAGAGGACTCAGCATCTGCTGATATTGTCCAACCCCCCCCCCATCATCTCCCTTCTATTCCCTATCCCACTTCCCACGCTATAGAGACCCAAAGAAAGTGCTGGACCCTCTCTTCTCCCTACCAGATAGAAGCACCATCATTTCATCTAGCCAAGTGTTTAGGTGCCACCTGGTGGTGACTCTTGGCATTTCAATCACTCCCTCTCCCAGCTTCCCACTTACTTTTGGTGTGTCTTCTGGACTCTCAACCACCTGAGACAATGACTCCCAGCCAGACCTCCGCCCTGCAGTTCTCTAGAAGCCAGTCTCTCTTTTTCTCGGGAAAGGGGCTATTAGCCCCGAGTCCTTCCTCAATACTTGGGTATTAGTCCTGCTTCCTGTCCCAGGACTCTATCCCTTCCCCTCCCCTATCCCTTACATCGTGTTACATAGAGGATGAGCATAGGTGTAGAAGTGACCTCAGTGGCCGAAAGAGACTCACAGAGAGAGGTACATCGGCAGGGGTCGTGTTTATCCAGGTAATGGCCTAGTGTGTCCCAGCCACCCCCTACGCGGACCATCACATGATTTCGCAAGATCTGCCAGGGATAAAGGTGAGGTTAGAGGAGAGAGGGATGAGGGGACCAGTGCCCCAGCAAGATTTGGATCAGGGCTTTGCCTTAACACCGTGCTACCACAGACTACCTGGGCTCATGCTCAGGAACATCCCAACAGGTGTGGCCTCCCAGCTTGCATCACATGTTTCTGTATGTCTTTCTTTCAATAGACATTTATTTCAACACATATTTGTGATATAATGCTTTAGGCGGGAAAAGAGCAATAAATAATAATATCTACCATTTATATGGGCAGCTAGATGGTGCAGTGGATAGAGCAGCAGGTCTGGAGTCAGGAAGACCTGAGTTCAAATGTGACCTAGGACACTATTAGTGCTTTGTGACGCTGGGCAAGTCACTTAACCCTGTTTGCCTCAGTTTCCTCATCTGTAAAATGAGCTGGAGAAGGAAATCACTCCAGTATTTCTGCCAAGAAAACCCCAGAGAGGGTCACAAAGAGTCAGACATAGAACGATTGACCACCGCCACCAACTATTTACATAGCTCTTTAAAGTTTGCACTTTATAAATATCGTATCTCATTCTATCATCACAACAATCCTGGAGAGTAGGTGCTATTATACTACTTACAGTTTCCTCATCTATAAATAAAGAAACTGAGACAGGGGCTAAGTGATTTAAGCTACACAGGTAATAAGTGTATAAGGCTGGATTTGAATTCAGGTCTTCCTGATTTCAGATTTAGTACTCCCTCTACTGGGTCACCTGGCTGCTCCAGATAAGAGCACCACTGCCCACCCAAACTTGACTTGGGGCATTGCCTTGAGCTGTGCTACCATGGAGTACATCATGTTAAGGGACATCCCAACACATGTGACCTCCCAGCTTGCATCTCATGTATACATACCAGTCTTGTTTTAAAATTTATTTTTATTTTAAAATCCGAATTTCTCCCTCCCTCCACTCTTTTCCCTACCCCCTGAGAAGGCGAGAAATATTATACTCCATATACATATACATATTCCCAGAGTCCTCTGCCCCCAGTGGATTGGAAGACATACACACCCTCATATATTTCTTGCAAAACGTATTTCCACATTAGCTATGGATGCATATTACAAGATGGATTTGTGAAAGAATACTCTTATCTGCAAGGGATCAGTAAATACAGTTCAAGGACTCCCTCCTTCTTCTGTAGGCTCTGTTGGGTAGATTCCCATGGATATACCCATTCTCGAGGTCAACAGCCATTTTTCAACATTTCATGTAGTGGTAGGTATTGTAAATTCCACCCTTGATTTCCCACTCTCTGCTTAAACTTGATAATGAATTTGTCCAACATCTCTCTCTGGCTCTCATGAAAGGGCAATTTGATTCAATGAAAGAATGCTGAACTTGACTTCAAATCCCATATCTTGACAAGCCTTATGACTTTGCTTACAAGTCACCTGACCTCTCTGAGTCTCAGTTTTCTTACCTGTAAGATGAGAGTGATAATACCCATAGGATCTACCTCACCAAGGTATTAGAATATGAGATGATGAACATAAAATCGATTTGTAAATGCTATATAAATGGCACTTATGATTTCAAAATGTTACAGCTGCTTGTGTCAAGACTCAAGAAGGGAAGGAGCAGCTAGGTGGCACAGTGGATAGAGCACCGACCTTGGAGTCAGGAGGACCTGAGTTCAAATGAGGACTCAGACACATAATACTCACTAGCTGTGTGACCCTGAGCAAGTCACTTAACCCCAATTGCCTCACCAAAAATAAAATAAAATAAAATAAAATAAAACCTCAAGAAGGGAAAGCCCTCTCTGGTGGTCTGCCTTTCAGCCTGTGGTAAAAGGCGTACTTGAACTTTGTAAAGCTGATTATTGCTCAGCCCTTATGAAGGGAAACTTTTCCTCCTTTCTCCTCCTTCCTACCTCCCTATTTCTGCCGAGGATTCCACCATCATTGCAGCCACCCAGGTCAATACTCTGAGTCATCTTCTGTAATTCTTCGAAGTCTCCCTCAACCCCACAGTCAATCAGTTGCCAAATCTTGTCAGCTTTGCCTTTTACACCACCTTGTATCCGCTCTCTTTTTTCCACTCATGCCACAACCACCCAAATTCAGGCTCTTATCACTTCTTGCCTGGCCTCTCTTTCCATATCCAGCCCCTCGCCTCTCCAGTCCATCCTCCACATAGCTGCCAAATTGATATTCCTAAAACACCATTCTGACTGTGGTACTCCCTGGCTCTAAAAATGTTCAGTGACTCCTTGTTGCCTCTAGGATAAACTACAAGCTCCTCTGTCTAACATTTAAAGCCCTTCACAATCTCACTGCAACCTGTATTTCCAGGCTGGTTCCATATCGCTCACCAAGCCCTCCAGGTCCTGCCTTAACTGACCCACTTCCGTGTTCCTCATTCATGACAATCTTCCTCTGGTCTCAATGCCTTTGCACAGGCTGGCTCCGATGCCAGTGCTGCTCTCCCTTCTCTTCTCATCCCTGCCTCTCGTACTAGGGAAGCCCCTAGTATCTACTTCAAGTCCCACCTCCAATGATGCCTTTCCTAATGCTCTCCTCCCCGAGTTGTTAGGGTTCCACCCACACGGTATTTGTTATGCATATACTTTGTATTTGTTTCTCTGCGTAAGTGCTGTCTTGCCCCCCACCCCCAGTAGAGTGTAAGCTCCTTGAGGGTAAGGGTTGTTTCATTTGTCTCTTTGTTTCACCTTTGCCTAGTACAATTCCTAACGCATAGTAGGCACTTTGTAAGTGCTTTTTGAATGTTAAATGAGAAAACACAGCAGAAAGGAATCACTGGTCCCTAGCTTTCCTCCACCTAGTGTTCTTGGGAGCCCTGGGACAGCTGCTACCACCCTCACTTGTGACTCCTTCCCTAACCCCAGGCCTAGGGAGGATGGGGTAAAGGTAAAGGACGATGGCCTTGGAGTCCAGGGGGAGCCCTGGACTCGAGGCCAGACTGACATTGACTAGTGACCTTGGGCAATGTCATGAGCCCCTTCTGGGCCTCAATTCTCTCATCGACACATTTAGAATTAGAAAGGACTTCAGAGACCATCCCCCTCATTTTACAGATTAGGAAACTGAGGCTCTGAATGGTAAAGTGATTTTTCCAAGGTTTTACAGCTAGGAAATATTCAGGATTTGAACACAATACCACTGTCTACAAACCCAGTGTTCATTCACAATACAACATTGCCTTGACCTTGTACCCTCACGTGTAATATGAATTGTGGCCCAGACCCCTGATCATCGACATATCTCTTCATCACTACAAAGGGACCCTTGTGTCTTTGCCACTTGGGCTCACGCGCGCACACACATGCACACACAAAGAGTATGTTGGGAATTATTCCTGTTGGTGTATCTGCCCTTCCAACTTTGTCCTTGGGCTCAGGGTGTGTAGGGGTCATGTTCCGTAAACACACACATTACATAAATACATATATAGACATATTTACACATATGTATATATGTACATATATTTGTATGTATGTGTGTATGTATCTACATATATCTTTATATATCTATATCTATATCTATATCTGTCTATCTATCTATCTATCCCATCAGGAAGCATGTTTCCAGGCTCACCTATTACCACATGGATCTTTCCCTTCTCTGCCTTGGGCATGAAGGTGGATTGGAGGAGGGCACTGTGGGAAGTCAGTACCATTGTCCCTGTATCTCTAAGCTCAGCTTCTGTCCAGGTGGGCAGGGTTGGCTAACACTCCTCCTACGGGCACCTTGATGCAGCTGCCACATGGTTGGAGGACCTTCACACCCCTCTCAATTAGGTCAGGAGTCTTCAGGAATTATCCAAGAAGCTCCTGACTCGCTAGCAGAAATATTACTCAACCCTCCCCCACAAGATACTGGGGAAAGTGACTCCTCTTCTCCTTAGTGTAGCTATATTACCTGCCCCCAGTTGCCTCACTCCCCAGCAATCTAAAAGGATGACCTTTTAGCCATATTCTCTACCTCAGGGGACTCCCTCTCATCCCTACCCCTTCCCACCTCAGTCCAGGAGAAGTGGTGAGAGTCTGTGCTAAAGCACCTTCCAATCTTGGCTGAGGAAGTCTCCTCACCAGGGGAAACAGAGGGAGGTTTTGAGGCCACCCCCCACCCCATCTCCCACCTGCCTTCAGTCAGGAACTCACCCTGACAAAGATGAGAGTGTTGGAATCCCCTACTCGGTATTTTCCTTCAGACACTTTGATCATGGAGAACTGCACGGGGCAGGTACAGCGACTCACCAGGTTCTGCACCTGCAACGAAAGACAGCAGGTGAGCTCCTGCAGGACTCTCTGTGTTCCCCATTAGGACCGCTTCTCTAAACTTGATCTCCATCCCATTCTTTCTCTCACACACATGCAGGGCTGAAAAGGAGGGCAAGAACTTCGGAGTGTTGCTAGGTCTCTCTGGTAGGCTTACTTAAGAGATCAGTTGGGACCTAAACTGGGAGCAGGAGGGAGGGGAGAGCACTCATTACCAAGTACTCCAGGAGGATCAGGATAAATTAGAGGGTAAAATTTCTAGGGGATTTTAGAAAACTTTCATTTTCACAGATAGAGTTTAGGGAGGGGAAATGATTTGCCTGAGGTCACACTCACACAGCAAGTTAGTGACAGAATTAGTGACTAGATCCCAGAGCCCCTGCCTTTCTGGTTCTGGGAAGCTGGAGAGATCAGTCACCCCAAGAGCTGTCTCAGCTCTGGAGCTTGGCACCTCCCCCCACAGTAGTCATGTGATAGAGGAGACGGGGTGACTGGGCAGGAAGGATTGAGGGATGTATGCCGTTATCCCTTCCTCCTTCCCTGAATCCCTCACCATTTGGTCCAAGTTTTTGAAATGGCAGGCTTGGCGGGCAGGGGGAGCTGGTGGAGGAGGATCAGGTGGGGGCAGGGCCAGCTCCTGCCGAAGTTCCTCCTCAATCTCCTCCTCCAGATGTACTAGGGTGGGAGCTGCTACCCCAAACCTCCAGGCTCGCCGTCCCAGCTCCAGCAGGCACAAGACCACATGCTTTTCGTTCTTCCTAAGCACCAGGTCCTCTGTCTCAAACATCAGCACCTCTGTAGGCCGGAGAGGAAGAGAGAATAGGAGTGACTAGCTTCATCCTCCTTTTCCCTTCCCTTCTTGGAAGAGTAGCCCGTCTGGGAAAAGGGGAAATTCCTGCGGTGACCCCATTGTCAGGCTCTCAAGGGAGGGTTAGGGCTCAGCAAGACAAATGGGATCTTAGATTCCTAGAATATCAGAGTCGGGGGAGACTTGGGAGGTCACCTTTACATCTTTATCTTGGAGATCTATTTTTACAGCTGGGGAAACTGAGACCTGTTTCAAAGTTCAAGAGACCTCTGGTCATTGAACATTTGGGTCATGTTATCTCCTGGGTGGGAGGGAACAGAGCCTAGGATGGAGTCCTGGCCTTGGAGTCAGGAAAATCTGGTTCCAAGTCTTGCCCCTGACCTATTCTGGCTGTTGTAAACATGGACAGACTATGTAGCCTTAGAAAGTGCCATAGGCAACTCCCTAAGACTGTAAATTTCAGATGTATTATATCTGCATCAGTGAAAGAGGTTTCTACACTGGGAGTTCCTCATAATGGTGTAATATATGTTCACCCCCCCCAACCCACACCCATCTGAAAAAAGCCCCTAGGAGCACAATATTCAGTTCAGCCTGAAGGCAGAGGACTAGATAAAATGAGTTACACTTGACAGAAAAGGATGGGGTTTGTTAAGAAGTAGCAGATTGCCTAAATGATTGGCTATAGGGCTATATCAAGAAAAGGGTTAACCTCTCATGGTACCCTCTTCATCCCAGCTTTTCACATTCTCAATTTTTTTCAATTTAATTTAACAAATGACTGTTTGCTGTTAGCATCCTTTTAACAGCACCTAGAAGATGCTGTTAAGCGTCTTCTAAGTGTAAGACACCAAGATATAGTGGATGGAAAGTTGGCCATCAGTCGGGAAGGCTTAGATTCAAGCTCTCTGACACATACTGGCTGTGTGACCCTCGGAAAGTCACTTAAACTTTCAGTACCCCCAGATAATAGGTAAATGATAGAATCAGAGATGCAGAATGGGAAGAAGCCTCAGAGATCATCTGGTCCAACCCCTTAATTTTGCAGATGTGGAAACTGAGGCCCAGGGAGATAAGTGCCTTGCATAAGGTTTCACAGGTAATAAGCATCAGGGGCAGGATTTGAACCAGGTCCTCTGTGCTCTTTCCACAGTACCACAACTTCCATGAAATCACAGATCCAGCATCTCTTGAAATAAATACATGAGGGGCAGCTAGGTGGTGCAGTGGATAGAGCACCGGCCCTGAAGTCAGGAGGACCTGAGTTCAAATCTGGCCTCAGACCAAACACTTGACACTTACTAGCTGTGTGACCCTGGGCAAGTCACTTAACCCCAACTGCCTAAAAACAAAACAAACAAAAAAAAAACAAGAAAAAAAAAGAAATACATGAATAAACAAATAAGTAAATAAATAGATTAACAAATGGATGGATGAAAAAGTAAATATAAAGATGAACAGATAAATTAATGAATAAACAAATAGTTAATATGTAAATAAATAGAAATAGAGATAGAAATAGGGATAAACAAATAGAGATGGATAGATAGGCAGGCTAGATAGACAGATAGGCAGATAGGTAAATTCATAAATAGACAGAGACAGACAGACGGGCAGATAAATGAATAGAAACAGACAGACAGATGGACGTATGAGACGCTGCTAAGCACCAAGGTTACAACCAGGAAACTAAGGACAGTTCCTGCCCTCAGGGGCCTTACAGGAAACAGTTGCTTCCTTTCTTTCCCCCCACTTTTGAAATGGCATCAAGGGTATGAGGAAGAGGGACATGGGTATTAGATATGGGTGATTTATTGTTATTTCACACTGACAGAGCCCCAAGAGAAGAATGAGGACCCTTAGATTGCAGCCTGCTTTGGCTTGCTCTGTTTGGGTTTTTCCGGAGCTGATGGAGCAGCAATGGCTTAAGTCTTTGGAGATAATCTGCTTTGGAGCCTGACCTCCTGGGGTTCGGCTATGTTGACTGTGAGGAGTTCATAACATCTAACACCTTTGAAAGAGGCAGTGACATTCAGTGGGTGCAAGGTAGGGCAGAGACCTTGCAATCATTTCAATGGTTTTTTTTTTTTAATTGCTTCCTATGAGATAAAGGAACTAAGGCCCAGAGAGATGAACTACCTTCCCAATGGTCATATAGCTAGTTAATTACTAGAAACCAAGCCTCTCAGCTACCAGTCTGGGGCTCTTTACATAATACTGACATCTGTATACCACTTTGAGCTTTGCAAGGGGCTTTTCACACCTCAACCACTGAGGTAGATAGGGTAGAGTATTATTATTCCCATTTTATAGATGAGGAAACTGAGGTTGTGAGAAATTAAGTGACTTGCCTAGTAATTGTTTGAGGTAAGATTTGAACTCTTCCTGACAAGTTCAGCTCTTGTTAAAAAGAAAAAAACTGGTAAGTTAGTTCTTTCTAACAAGTTTAGTACTCTACTCACTATGGCACCTAGTTTCCTCTGGCTGAGCTAGAACCCAGGTCTCCCAGGTACCAGCCCCATGCTCTTCCCACTATCCTACTTTGGCCCCCAAAGAAATTTTGTCTCAGGGTGGGTTCTGAAGAGGTATTTACCTTTGATGCCCATCTCCTTCCGGCACCAATGGATGAAGTTGGAGACATTGTCCCGAGCCTGGAAGGTACGTGGCTGGGCTGCCCCATTGCAGCAAACCCCAGACCTGGGCAGCCAAATTTTCTGGGCCAAAGCTGGAGATTGGGCCAGGAAGTTCTGGGCAGCTTGAGTGACTGCATTGGCATGTTGGCACAACAGCTGGCCAGTCTCCAGAGTCTCCAGGAAGTTGGCCGTGTCAATATCCAGCTCGTAGAGATTCCTAAGCCAGTCGGCTAGGTCCTCTTTCATCGCCTCCAGGTACTGCTCACTGGACTTAAAGGGTCGAATGCTGCGGATTGGAGGATCTGGGAGTCCAGGCATTGTCCTGCCACTGGGCTGGGACCTGGAGGGGCTGCTGGCGAGTGACCTTCCACTCATCTTCCAAGTCTTGACCTATGGGTCAGACCCAATGCTGCTTCCTCTCCCTTGGTTCCTGATCTATTAAGCCAAGCCTGGGGTCTTTTCCCTTCCCTTGGTTCCTTCAACCGGGCGATCCCTGGGTGCTGTGACTCAGGCTGACCAAGCTGGGAGATTTCCTTCTGAGCTGCTTCTATGCTGATCCTGGCCTCTCTAATCTATCTCTCGCTCTCTACCCACCCCCTCAGAAGTTCATTCTCCCCATTCTGCTCACTCTTCAGGATCCATCTCTATGGCAAAACGAGTTCCAACTCCACCTCCCCCCCAGCCTACTGGATTCCTGAATTCCTTCCTGAACCTTCCCTCTATCCCTCCCTTTCCCACTTAGTTAACTGGTAACTACCTCACTCTTCTGGCTGCTGAGGCCATCCTGAGGACCCGCTATCACCGCAAAGGGACAGGTTGGGGGGGGGGGTTTGGCCTTCTTTCCTCCCCTAGGAGCTGCCCTGGTCAATTTAACCCTCCTTCTCTCCCCCCCCACCCACCCCCCAATACTACCCAAGGTGGCTGGATCATTCCTGCTGGGCTTTGCCTCGGAGCTCTCTCCTCTCCTAGGTGACAGGGGCTGCTACAAACACTCCCTATTAACCCCTTCAGGGTAGCCACTGGCAGGCTCTGACTGGCCTTGCTCCCTGGATTGGGGTACAGAGAGAAGAGAATGAGACCTAGGACACTCACCCCCTCTACTGAGATACATGTAAGTAAATTTCATCTGGTAGATTGTTGTGATTTTTTTTTTCTGACTTGTGGTAGAAAGGCCTGGCATGAAGAGAGAGGGGGAGAGGTTGGAAACGGGAGAAACTCAAGGGGTGAAGCAGGGTCTGAGAAGATTTCTGTAGGTAACATATCGTCTCTTCATCTTTTTGCCTCTCTGACCGGCTAGCTATTTGTCTGTCTCTGTCTGTCTCTGCCTGGCTATTTGTCTCTGTCTCTCTCAGTTGGTCACTCTTCACCAAGTCTGTCTGATTTAAAAAAACAAACAAACAACTAGACTCTCTCCCTCCTGCCGAATTCCCTTCTCCTTTCTGCCTATTCAGATTGCATGTGTTCGTCCTTCCAGACCCAACTCAGGACCCATACACTTTGGGGAGGATTAACCCTTCCCTGACTCTCCTACCCTGCTTCCTGTGAATATATAGCAGGTCTATATAAAGGTCTATGCTGAGCAGGACTCTCTCAACATCTGCCTGATACTTCCAGGGCTTCAGGCTCTGGGAAAGTAGAGGATAAGTAGGTACTGAACCCAATATTCCCAATGTGAGAATCACCAGTGGTCTGTCTATTCCACTTGGGTAGTACAAGTGACTCCCAGCTTTCTCTAGACTCTTTCTTTCTAGAATGGGACTAGTTTACTCACTGCAGCTATACCCATGATGGTTGGTTAGGGTGATTCTTCAAAAGGGTGGCATATTGCTGCAACTCTCAGAGTCCTAGGGGGTAGCCTTGGTATTGAGGGAGACATATTTTGACTACTCACAACTATCCCCACTGGTGTGCTTCCCATTTAAACAAATCACCCAAGATGACACCATTAACTTTTAATTAGGAAACATTTACAAATAGGAGGCAAAGCTATAATAATCATAAGTTTTTCCATAAACCTGTTCACCCTCTACCAGCAAGGTATGTAGCGTTCATAGGAGAGAGCACAAACTTACAGAAACATAACATGAGCAGAAAAACTCATGTGTCTGGGTTTATGTCTCTGGACTAGAGCCCCAGATGTCTTTGTTTCTTTGGGGAACAGTCTGTATCCTTTGTCACCTGCCAGGCCCTATTGTTTCTCTTTCTCAGCTTCTCCATTCTGTTGTTGGTGTAGAATTAAGTTGTTTTTTTTTTTTTTTTAAAGTAAACAGCAACCTTAAGCCTGGAATATGCAGAGCTTCCCTAGTCTTCTCCCTTGACTTGGTGCTGGGGTAGCATTATACTCTTTCAAAGAAAATCAGTTCTGCATCTGCAATGCTCATCAGGTTAACCCTCTGGACTGTGAGATGTTTTCCCCCTCCTGAACCATGGAGGTCAGTGAAGGGCAAGGTAGATAAGCCTTCCCTCTCTCAAGCAGGTAATGGTGCTGGAGAGAAACACCTATCCCCAGTTAGTGTTTCAAACAGCAGGGAATTCTGCTATCTCCAATCAGCTCCCACTATCACAGTCTTCCTCCATTCAGATTAGCTCCCCATATCAACTGCTAAGTCTCAAATGGGCTCAGCTCAAAGCAGCTGCTATTATTTTCTGTTTCTGCTATATATATATATATATATATATATATATATAATTTTTTTTTTACTTCTGCTGACTTTCTTAGCTCTGTGGGCTTTTATTTTCTGTATTCTATATGCAGCTTCTAATGGGACCTCATGGGTGAGTCAACCTATTACATATAAATTAGCATCACCAAGGGAACAACGGAGAGCTGTTAGTCAATAAGCATTGACTAAATGCCTAGGACATAGGAGGCATTATGCTAAGTGCTAGGGAGACAAAGAAAGTCAAAAGACAGTCCCTGCCTGTAAGGAGCTCCCAATCATTATTGGGTATTACCAGCAGGAAGGGTTTGAGTGACCGGCCTGGCAATAGACTGTAGATCTGTTATCTCACGACCAGCCTCACTAAGACCAGAAAGGTTCATCATCAGTAAGAAGAGGTGTGAGTGATGGGCAAGTCCATGTGCCCCTTTAGTGCTCACATAACGTCCTGCATCCTAAAGGAAGGCCCCCCATCACGTTGGCTAGACCAATTTTAGAGGAGTTGTGAGAGTTTATGGACAACAGTCACACAGGGTTAGAGAATGTGGATGGATTGTGATCTATCCTGTGTAAGAAAAAAAAAAAACCCTGTCTCTGAAACCAAAGGTCCTTTGAATGATTTACTATGTGGTAAAGGAGTTGTGATTTGTATCAGACAGAGATGGGTTGATAGGCTTATATATTTAGAATTGGAAGGAACCTCAGAGTCGTCCAATACCCTTCATTTTTACAGATGAGGAAACTGAGGGTCAGGCAGGTAGAACAACTGCTGGTTCACAGAAGAGCCAGGATTTGAACTCAGGTCCTATGGCTTTTTCCATGATGCTACACCACCCCCCCCCCCCCCCCCCGCCCCAATCCTTAGAGGCATAGATTAAATACATAACTGAACTAGCTAATTTTATTAACGGAATAAGGAAGCAACCATGAGAGGAATTATGGATCTGATTCATTTCTACGGAAGTCGGAAGAAACATGGAGACCATGGGAATGTTCTTAGTTCCGTCTGGAAAATGAAATACTACGCAGAAATTCAGCGACTGTGGGAATATGTTGTGTCTGTTATGTTGCCTGTGTGAAAATTTTCTGTGAAAATCACCAAGTTACTGAGTTGCCAAGAAATGGATAAAAGGCTGGTGACCACAGAAAGAACACCCGCTGAGAACAACCGTAGGCAAGGACTCCACCCAGCTTGAGACTGCCTCAGATGGAGGTCTGAGACAATAAAGAAAAAGAACATCACAAGGAGGAGGAGGAGACAAAAGCTGGGGATTGTCCCAGGCTTAGTGACAACTTAACAGAAGAGAGAAAGCACTGGAGTTAATCAAAGGGATCTTTGAGCCAATGCCAAATAGAACTTTCTGAATAGAAAGGATCCCATGAAATGGGCTTATGGGAGCATTCTGCAGTAAAAGGTTGCATCCCACAAATTCACTGGGGAGGGGCACACTCCAAGACTCTACACTCATTGATTGGCTCATGTATCTTAACTTCACTGAAAAATCCAGGTTTCCTCTTAATTCCTGGCATTGGTTGACAAAATTCCTCAGCCTCAAGTTTGCAGTTAAAAGAAAAAGTTTAATTAATTAAATTAGTAAAAAAGTATGATAAAAATCAAGCATTAGATACAGGCATCATGGAGCACAACATTTCCCACCATTTCCCATCTCCAAATAGAATCTGTTTTTGATCTCTTCACCCTCCTGAGTGAGAACATGAAATCAGAAGGTCTGCCTGTTTAATTTTCACCATCACAGGCACTGGGATGGAAGAGAGAGAGATAACTCTCACTCATCATGATGCTTGGATGGACACTAGCCATCCATGGGATGACTACCAGCAGTCCAGCAGTGCCTAAGGACCAGGCTGGGCTTTTTGAAATGCAATATTGCTGCTTAGATGAACGGGAAAGCCCATCATGGGCTCTGCATGCCTCTGGCTCCTCCTAGCAAGACAAGAGTGAAGGAATTTGTCACCTGCAAAGTCTTGAATTGTCCTCTTGGAATCACAGTAGCTGTCAGAATGAGGAGGAAGAAGGAACATATTCCCGAAGTTTTCCACCAGTGCAGGTGAAGGCAAGCTGTAGGAATTAGTCATGGTTTCTGCAGCATCCTCAATTGCCATTTTTCTCTCCATCTTGTCTCTTTCAAAACTCCTAGCTCGTTGTGCTTCCACCTTATGTGTGTGGTCAAAGCAATCCAGGCCATTGCCAGAGTCAGTTGGAAAGTGTCTCAGTATTGACAGTCCCCATGGAAGAACTATCTCCAAAGTTCCAGGGCAGTGCCTCAAAGACAGCCATTGTCTATTCCACTAATAGAAGGCTTTGCAACACCAAGCAGGGAGAACTTGGATCTCTTAGGGGAGCTTACCTGTCTACTAACCATTGGTTGTGCATGCATGTGTGACTGAATGACTAAATGATCAATTGTCTGGGTAAGTTTGGGTGAATGTGTGAATGCATTCCTACTGGAGCTGACGGAACTTCAAAAATAATAGATTCTTGCTTCATTAATAAATCTTTAAACTGAAGAATCTCATGTCTGGTGATGATCACTATCTTCCTTGGTTTTTGCATATTGAACATCTTTGCCTAATTGGGGGCAACAATGCTAAATTGATGCTCATTTACTTTGGGGCCCTCACAACTTGAAAAGTGCATGGAGAAGAAATGGATGTGGAGGAAGAGTCCAAAGAAGGAAAGAAGGCCCAGCAACAAGAGAGAAACAGAGGAAGGGGAGGGGAGGGAAAAACCATTAGACAGCACAGAGCCCAAGAAGGAAATCAGGATGGAGGGAAGAATAGAAACTATTTCTGGACGTTTTGGTCATAAGAGGCAAACGAAGACAGAAAAAGAGGAGGTGGCTTTTCTCCCTCTGCCTTGTTCCTCCTCCTATACCTTTAATATGATAATATTTCACATAAATATGTGTTTGCATGTATATATGTCTCTCTCTCTCTCTCTCTCATCTATCATCTGCCCAGTTGTTTCCAACCCAAAAACACATTTATTAAGCACCTACTTTGTACCAGGGACTCTACTAGGTGCTGGGGTCACAAAGACATATAGTCCCTATCCCCTTGGGTCCAAAACTGTGCCCCAAACAGACCGTTTCTTTCCTCCATGCCCTCAGGGAGCTTACATTCTATTATTTATATCTGTTGTTTCACACCACTCATCCAATCAGCATATATGAGAAGGTATATACAGGGTGTTTCAAAAGTCTTTTGTGCAGTTTTAAGCTTTAATAGTTTAAAACTGTGCTGACTTTAGGGAAACTCTATATATGTGCCTCCCCCACATACTTGTTGGTTTTTCCGTAATTGTTTCCCTTAGTTTCTGTTGGAAATAACAGATGGGGTTGCCCTAGGACAGGGATTCCGTGTGTGTGTGTGTGTGTGTGTGTGTGTGTGGATGTGTCTGTCTGTCCGTCTGTCTTACCTCAGCCTTCGAGCTTCCTGAAAGAGAGGACAGCACACAGATCACTCACTCCACAGGTAAGCCTGTTGGAAGACTAGGCATGTCACCAGAGATCTTTCCCCTTTTCCCTTAAGCTCCACACTTTTGTTTGGCCACCAATTAGGCTGGGCTTGTGTCCTGTTCTTATTCAGGTTCTCACATTCTCCTTCACTTGGGAACATTTTCCTTCCAGGAGGAGAAAAAGGGGCACAATTTGGAGGGATAGGGAGAGCATGGTAGGTAGGAAAACGATGGGAAGGAGGGAGAGGAAGGGAACTAAGAGGACCCTGGGGCATGGGCTTTCCAGGCACCCAAATAAAGGAGGCCCTTCCTGGTCTAAGGCTCTTGGGAGGGGGAGGTTCTAACTCCATTCTTTGTGACCCAATAGTAGCTGTGGTGATGAAATCAAGAGATGCAGGGATGAGGGAAGTCCTTGTCACTCCTGCTCTCCAGTATGGGACAGGGGACATGCCTAAAGTAGAGTAAGGAGCGTGGGGAGGAATTCCCCAAGTGGCACAGAAATAGCTCAAGAATGGACAAGCGGGGTAACGGTGAGTGGGGCAGGAGGGCAATGGGGAAGAAGTGAACAGGGCCCTCCTTGACACACACAGTTCTATTTCCTATAATAACTTGGGTTAGAGGGCTGTCACCATGGCAACCATACTCTCAAGACACCTCTCAATTACCCTACTTGAAGATTGTTCAGAGCAAACGTTTCATCCCAGATTAACCGAACCCAGACAGGCAACAGATGCTCGTATCCCTTTCATTTTTCATCACTTGGTGTTTGAGCCAAAGAGAATGGGGGAGGGGGTAGTTGAGGGAAGGGAAAGAGTACCTCATCCCGCCTTCCAAGATTAAAGAAAAGAGTGGAGTGTCATGATAGAATCTATGAATGTAAGAAATAATTCTTATAAGATGAGAGTTCAATTGGAGAAGGAAGTGGAGGCAGGAAGACCTGTTGGGAGACTATTCTAATAACTGACCAGTAATAAGGCTTGGGCCAGCTAGGTAGTTCAGTACATAGAATGCCAGGCCTGGAGTCAGGTAGACTTGAGTTCAAACCTTGTCTTAGACACTTACTAGCTGTGTGACCCTGGATAAGTCACTTAACTCTATCTGCCTCAGTTTCCTCATCTATAAAATGAGCTGGAGAAGGAAATGGCAAACCACTCCAGTATCTTTGCCAAAAAAACAAACAAACCCCAAATGGGGTCACAAAGAGTCAGACTTGACTGAAATGACTGAGCAATAATAACACAAAGGAAGCCTTGTATAAATATAGTGGCAGTGAGCATAGAAAAGAAGGGGACAGATGTCACAGACTGTGTGTGTGTGTGCGTGTGTATGGGGAAAGGTTTATCTATCTATCCTTCTATTCTTGCAGATAATTGGCAACTGGCATCTTACTAGCTATGTACAGGTCTGCTTAACCTCTCTGAGCCTCAGTGTCCTTACCTGTAAGATAAGAGGGCTGAAGATCCCTCTCAGCTCTGAATCTCTAGTCCTACAAATGTGTCTACGGCTTGTCAGCAGTTCTTGGCACTCGTTAAGGTCGACGCTAAGTGGACGGAGGTGAAATCCCTGTGATTTCTGCCTCTGAATGAAAATGTCTCAAAAGTAGGATGCATTAATTACCCAGAGCTTCTCATTTGACTTGTGGTCATGGTAGAAATCATGAGTTCTTGTAGTGCCTGAAATCTTCACGGAGAAAAGCTAGGCTAAGGGTGAAATAGTACTGAGGTTTCTCCTTTCCTACCTCCTAGGCCTGAAGATCCCTCTGTGGAAAAAGGAGCCAGGGGAACTCCTGGATGAAGAGGCAGAGGAGAGTGACGATGAAGAGGAGGAGGATTCAGAGGAGAAAGATTCAGATGAGGCAGAGAAAACTTCACAGAAGGAGGCAGAGTACTGGGAATCTGGGCAGGAGCTTCAGGACGGCGACGGGAAAGACAAGGGCTCAGTGTCTTACTGCCCGCTCCGCCAAGAGCCCAGCTTGCCTGATGTGTCGGGCCTGAGGCACTCCGAGAGTGGATTCTGGACCTGGCTCAGTCCCCTCACCCTCCTATCCAATCTGGCCTTCCCCATGGACAGGTGCTTAGAACAGGGAGCCTGGTCTCCGAACTATTCTTCCTCTTTCTGGAGATATCTGAGAGGGTTGGGCTATTGGAGAGAAAGGAATGAGGTACTCCTTGGTTTCTTCATAGTGCTGAAAATCCAAAGGATACTACCAGTCTTGGGAAACAGTAGGCTTCTGTGGGGTGGGGTGGAGGATGTGGTGGGTGTCCTCCTCATAGGATCATAAGTTTGAGTCTCTTTATTTCACTATATTCCATATAGGGTAGCTGTATGAAAATAGGGGTGGTGGTGGTGGTAGAAGGAGGAATCTCTCCTTTTAAGTCCCTTAGATTAGCAAGGCCCAGAGGAGCAGGGTTCTGGTATTGGCTTGAACAAGGCAATGCTGAGCCTCCCCTCTCTCCATCCTGAAACCACTAGGAAGAGGATCCTGCCGGGGGAGGTGTGTCTACAGGAGAAGCAGCGGTCTAATGAAGGGCTCTGTTCCCGCTGTGAGATTCTCTTCTGCAGGAAATGTGAGACTCTGCACTGTGACCCTGGATATGTTGAGCACTGTATCCTGGACCACTGGGAGGGTGGTGAGCCTCCTGGGAATTAGATATGGGGTGGAAGGAGTAGAGCCATGTCAGGTGGTGCCTGAGCCCTCATCTGTAAGAGGTAGAATGGTGGAGTGAATAAAGCAACAGACTTGGAGGCAGAGGGGACTCTGGTTCAAATCTTCCCTCACACTAGCTGTTCGGCCCTGGGAAAGTCATATCTGGGCCTCAGTTTTCCCACCTGTAAAATGAGGAAGCTGGATTTGATAGCCGCTAAATCAGCTCTGAATCTGTGGTCCTATTATCTCTCATGTTTAAACTGCCATATCCAGCACTTAAGACACCATCCCTTAGCTCCTAAATGAAACACACTCGATTCCCGGAACTTAGTTATCCTCTTTGATGCAAGGTATCTTTGATATGCCCACACATGAGGCAATGAACCCTTATCCCTGACACTTTGAGCCCACCTATGCTGCTCAGGCCATATGGGATTTGTCAAGCCTGCATCCCTGCATCTTCTATCCTGTTCCTCTCCTTGACATTTTGACCCCCTGGGCTGGGGACACTTAGCATGTTTCAGGTGAAAGATCAGAAGAAATCCTGGCCACAATTTGAAAATCCCTAGCTGCTGCCCCAACCCATAATACTCAGTCTTTCCATAATCACAGCCTCATTGTGTGTGTGTGTGTGTGTGTGTGTGTGTGTGTGTGTGTGTGTTGGATTCCTAGCTACACTTGGGAAAAGGCAAGTAGAGGCCAGGGGGTTGCCTCTTTTCTGAGTTTTCTCCAAGGTTTGATTTTCAAGCTAATCTGATTTGTCCCTTGAAAGTCAAGTTATGAGTCAGTGTCCAGGGAGCTCAGTCCCCTGCCACATCTCACTAAGCCTTGAACCAAAGCCACCTCCGATGGATTCCCACCCCCACCTTAGTAACTAGGCATGTGCTCCAGGTACCTCCTACCCTGCCTTCTGGCAGCAAAATCTATACCAGGGTAAAGATTATTTTCCCTTTTATACACAGTGAGAAAATGAGGCAAAGCAAAGAAAATTCTAGTGGTTGGAATTAAACCCAAGTCTTGTTTCTTGGAACAATGGTCTGTCCAGTAGGTCTCTCTCCCCTCCCTGGGGATTGTCCGCAAAGGGGAAAACTTGTCAATACCAGTAGGCAGACCCAGAGCTTGGGGACAGACATTAGAGGAGGGAGGGTGAATGGAATCAGCAGCTTAATTGCAGGCCCTACACTGGTGGTTGGAGGCAGGGTTAGTGTTGGGTGGAGAATCAGCCTCCTCCACTAAGAATCTCAGCTATTTCTGGGGCCTAGGACTTAAGGAATGCTCTGTGTGTGTGTGTGTGTGTGTGTGTGTGTGTGTGTGTGTGTGTGTGTGTGTGTGTGTGTGGGCGCGCCTTAAAGAATGGTGCTATTATGATTGACAACAGGGGCCAAAGGGAAAGGTGCCCAGCTGACCCTGAATCACAGAGAGATTTTAGTCTTCCACCCTTGAAGTTTGCCCTGCCTTTAGAGGAACTGGAGACCTGACCCTGCCGCGGTTACTTCCCATTGGACCCTTCCAGGGCTGCTTAGGGTGGGGTTGGGGAGCATTATTTTTCTGTATCTCGAATAGTCATCCTTTTCTCTTTTCCTCTCCAACTCTGGCTCCTTTCCTTTCCTCTCTCTTTATTCAGGATATATCCATTACAATAGTGTCCACTGGGGCAGCGTCATGCCGTGTTCCTTCCATTTTCCTTGACTTTCCTTTTGGACACTTTAGCTGGAGAGTGGTCAATCCATGGCCCTCTTCTCACTCCAAGAAAACCCCACAGAGTTCCTCCTACTGAGGAGTTGGGCACCATGATGATTTTCTCCCACACACCCCCTCTCCATGGCAGAGGAATATAATGCTGGGCATGAGGGTCCTGACTGATCATACAAGAGGCTCAGAACAGGACACCCCCAGAGTTTGCGTCCCAGCAGCCCATCCACGGAAGCTCTTCAGCCCACTGGCCTGTTGCTACCACCTTCAGTGAGATCTGGTCAAAACGCCAGTAGCGGTCATCCCGGAAGAAGAGGATGGAGCCTTCAGGCCCAGGCAGTGCCCCTTGGATCCCTGAGGGGACACCGCCCCAGTCCCTTAAGCCTCGGGGGTAGTAGGGTTCAATCTGTAGGCCTCCATCAGCCAGTACATAGTATTGAGGACCCTTGAAAAGCACAATGCGGTGTAAGGGTGGGAAGAAGAAGGCTGCATCTGGGTGACGAGGGAGTCCTCCTGCTCTGCATAGTTGGGGGTAACCTTTCAGTAACCTCGATCCCCGGAACCTCCAACATCGACTTCCTGTGGGAACAGAGAGATAGAACCAAGATGGCAGAACTAGTATGGGCAGTGGAGCAAGGACAAAGAGGATGGGGAGGCAAAACATGGGATAGAAATGGAGGAAGGTCACTTTTAGCAGGTGGGACAGGGATGGGAGAGGAGAATGGCAGCAGAGAAAAGAGCCATTGGGTCTATGTTATGGGGAATTATGAATCCCTACTTCCTCCCTATTCTGGGCTTCCTGAATATTAGAGGGAGCTAAGAACTAATTCTAAAAATTGGAAGGATTAGAGGGAGATCATTCAGTGCTATGAAAATAGGGCTGAATTCTAGTCATAGGACCTGGGATCAGTCAGTAAATAACACTTTTTTTTTTTTTGCTTTTTGGTGAGGCAATCAGGGTGAAGTGACTTGCCCAGGGTCACACAGCTACTAAGTGTCAAGTGTCTGAGGTAGCATTTGAACTTAGGTCCTCCTGACTCCAAGGCTGGGGCTCTATTCACTGTGCCACCTAGCTGCCCCTAAATCACACATTTATTTAGTGTCTACCACTAAATATCCCAGGCAATGTGCTAGGTCCTGGGTTTGCAGAGTCAGAATGAAACACTTCCTGCGTTCAAGGAAGCTTACGCTCCATACACTTAAATAAAATGCACAAAATAGATAGCAGGCCATTTTTATTTTTAGAAAGAAGTGGAACTCATGACTGGGGGATCAGGAAAGACTTCAAGAAGATGGCCCTTAAACTACGCTCTGAAGGATACTGGGAATTCTAAGCTGTGGAGGAAGGAAGAAATGCATTCCAGACATGGAGAACAGAGTGTTGGAGAAATTGCAAGAAGGCTAATGTGAATGGACTACAGATAATTAAATGGGTGGTTAGGTGATGCATCTGATTGAGTGCCCCACCCTAGAGTCAGGAGGACTTGAGTTCAAATCCAGCCTCACATACTTACTAGCAGTGTGACCCTGGGCAAGTCACTTAACTTATTTGCCTCAGTTTTCTCATCTGTAAAATGAGCTGTAGAAGGAAATGGCAAACCACTCCAGTATCTTTGCCAAGAAAACTCCAAATGGGGTCACAAAGAGTTGGATGCAACTAACTGACTAAACAACAATGTAAAATAAGGCTGGAAAGGTAGGTGGGTTGTGAAAGGCTTTGAATGTCAAACAGAAGGGTTTATATTTGATTCTACGGGAATGGGAAGCCATCGAAAATTACTGGACAAGAGAGTAATATGGTCAAATCTTGTCTCCGCCACCATGTTTAACTTTGGGCAAGTCAATGAACTTCTATGGAGAAAAGAAAGTTAATAAAAATTGTATGGGCCTCAGTTTCCCCACCTGTAAAATCAGAGGGCTGGACTAGATGGTCTCGGAGGTTCCTGCCAGCTCCAGATTTATGATTCGTTGATCCCTGTTACCTTGTAGTCCCTCCCAGTTCTAAATCTATAGTAATATAATTAGTTCATGGACGAGGAAGGTGTGTTCTGCAAGTGCCCAGCAGGTGTCAGCACTGGGCAGCCAGAGCCAGGCCAACTGGGAGCCCCGGAAAATGGAAACTCTCAGCCCCAGGACCATTCCCAGTTCTCCAGCTGAAGACAAAGGGATGGCTGAAAAGCGTTCCCCACCTTCTTCTATTCAGTCCCTTTTCTTGCCTCTCTCTTTCTTCCCTGCTTTCTCCATCCGTTCTACCATTTATGTCTCTAGTGCACATCTCTTTTTTGCCCACTCTTGAAAGAAACTGCTATTTTTCAGGTTGGGGTGAGGTCGAAGGGCAGAGGAGAGGCACTGCAGCATAGTGGAAAGAGTCCTCAACTTAGATTTCCGAACTTGGCATTCCACGACCCAAGTTTGGATCCTGTTTCTTCCAATTACTGCCTATGTGACCTTGGACAAATCACTTCATCTCTGTGGGCCTCAGTTTCCTCATGTGTAAAAGGCGATTGGACTAGATGACCCTTTAGGTCATCTTCAGCTCTATGATCCTACTATAAACTTTCCCTTGAGGTCACAGGTTCAAGCTCAAGGGGGTAGGGAGGAGAGAGCTCATATTCAAAAGAAAAAAGGGTCTTTTCTAGCCCTATTAGCTTGCACTGAGTAGTGCAGGGAGTGGGGGGGATTCGATTCAGGTCTGGGGGCTTACTGAGCCAACATAGCCCCATTCTGCCTTGAGCCCGAAGGATGGAGAGTTCTTGCCTCTACTTCTGCCCTATACACACACACATACACACACACACACACATACACACACACATACATACATACACATACACACATGCAGACACGCACATACACACACACATACACACATACACATCAAAGCTCTAAAGCGAGAAGGGGTCTCAGAGGTCATTTAGTCCAATTCTTCACATTACAGAAGCTGATGATGTGACTTGCCCAAGGTCATGCAGACAGTGAGCATCAGAGAAAGTTCCTACATCAGTACCAAGTCTCTAACTCTACAATTCTTCTCTTCTTGCCGCTCCGCGTCTCTATGGAGCTCAGACCCATTTGGAAGCCTTGAGTAGGCAGGAGATGGGGGTTCCTGGCCCCTTATCCCTCTTCCCCCACCCCTTCCCCCGCTCCAGTCTGTACCTTTGAAGAAGTAGAAGTCTCCATCATCCTGGGACACAACAGCTGCCTCAATGTGGGGGGGCAGACTGGCCCATTTCTCCTGCAGCAGTTGGGGTTCCGAAGCATTGCCATCAGCCCCTACCTCCCAGAAACTGTTTCCTTTAAAGATGTAGACTCGATGGTCCTTGTCTGCTCCACGCCCCCCCCAGAAAAAAAGATGGAGGAAAGGTTACTTAGGCCCTTCTCTCCTTTGCCCTCCCCACCCCGAGTCCTTAAAGGTGCTGTGGTGGGGACCCATTACTGCTTCCATTGCTACCTTACAGAGAGGCCAAGGGGAGACAAAGTCCCACGGGGTGGCCACATAACATGAGCAACATTGGCTTGTGCTTCTGAATCATTCAAGCAAGTAGGGCCAAATTACCAAACCCAGATTACCTTCCCGAGACCCAAGTCCTGAGAGCCTCTAGGCATTTGGTAGGAGGGTTGGGTAGGACAAACTTGAGGCTTGGGTGTTGAGGGTCAGAGTAAAAAAATGGTGTGGGAAGGATGAAGGGGTCATAGAATTAGAACTGGAAGGGACCTCAAAGCTCAGCTGGTCCAATCCTCCCTTTTACAGATGAGGAAACCGAGGCTCAGAGAGGTTAAGACACTTGTCTGAGGTCACACGAACAGAGCTGGAATTTGAACTCAGGTCTCCTGATTATTAAATCTAGTGCCCTTTCTCCTATACTAGGATGGAAGTGGGCAAGGATCCTTGGGATGCCTGAGGATATGAGGGCAGAGCAGAGTGTCGTCTTACCTGCTGTGATGGTGTCAAAAAAAGTGTGGCAGTAATAGGGTCCTCGAGCTCCAGATGTCCTGTCCCAGGGCCTGTGGGGGTCCCAGTCCTCAAAATGGGTGAAGAGCTTCCCGGGGAGTTGCTCAGCCACTGAGCCCCCCAGGGGCTGTCCTACAGTGGCAGAGAGAAGAAAGGCTAATGCTGGAGCTCTGGTTAGGCCAGGCTGGATTCACTGTCTAATGTGAGCGGTGAGAGGAAGGAGGACAGGACAAGGCTGTTATTGTTTCTGGATTTGATGGGGTCTATCACAGCAGTGGTGGAGAGGATACTGGACAAAGTCAAGAAAACAGTTCGAATTCTGACTTTTCCATCTGTGTGACTCTGGACAAGTCACTTAATCTCAGCAAACCTCAATCTTCCCTGTAAAATGAGGGGGTCAGATGAGATGACCTCTCAGGCTCCTTCTAGCCTTACATCTGTGATTTAAATGGAAACGACAGTGGAAAACCCAGGAATCCTGTTTCCCTGTCCTTTGGGGAGATCCCATATGACAGGATCACAGGTTACAGATTTAGAGGTGGGACGGACCTTAGAGATCCCACCCCCTTACTTTACAGAGGAAGTGAGGTGACTGACTTGTCCAAGGTAACACAGGTAGGAAGAAGCAGAACCAGGATTTGAACCCAGGTTTCCTGACTCCAAATCCAGTTCTCTGTTGAGGGTGGGATGTGCCAGGGTCAGGGAAGAGCAGGGAGGTCTTTTCAGAGATCAGAGGTAGAATCGAGGAGAGTTGGAACAGGACTCCCCCATCTCCCATGGCAGGCTGCTAGGAAGCACTAGATTGAGAAGGGTACTAGACAAGTGAGAGCACAAGAGGCAATGGGGCCACCAGAAGGAGAAGCATTAACTTGAACCCTGAAATCTGCTCAGTAGCTTTGTATTTTAGGAATAGGCCTGGACAGCTTTGGGGAAAGCAACTGACTCTCTATGCCCCACACCAGTAAGCTATGGAAGTCCTAACAACCTAAAGGGGGAGATTAGAAATTGTTGAGGATGACTGAGGGTCAGGGAGTCTATGGGGAAGAAGTTTGGGGTTGAATAGTTGGGATCTCTGGGGATCAGGAAGTTTAATATTATGGCAAGAGTAGATTTGGGGGCCTGGAGGTCATGTTGTGGGAGATGCTAAGGGTCAGGGATGAGAGGCACTGGAGGTAAAGTGTTAGAATGCTGAGTGACAGCAGGGGAAAAGGGCTTGGATCCAGGGTTTTGTTGGGGTGATGCATGAGGAGGGGGCCGGAAGCCAAGGACTTAAGGAGATGAGTGCCATGGGATGGAAAGAATTGGGGACCAGAGATGTATAGTGCTGATTATCTTAAGGTGGAAAGGACTGGGAGTCTGAGATTGGAATGTTGAGTGTCATGGGGTTGAAAAGGATGGGGAGGTGAGATTGGAATAGGGAGCCAGGGGACTGGGTGTCATGGAGCGGACACATTGGTACCCAGAAGTTGGGAACCAATGGTTGGGGTTGGAGGTAGGAGCAAGGAGGATGGGAGGGGCTTAGCTGAGGGATGCTCACCATACAGGTTTTGGATGGCCAGGACATCATCCCAGTTCAGCACAGAGTCCCGTCCCAGCCTCTTGTAATAGGGCGCCATGAGAGCCCGAGGAGCAGGGGAGTGGCCCAACCCCAGTGTGTGGCCAATCTCGTGGGCCAGCACTACGAATAGGTTCCGACCCCTTCGACTTTTGAAGGACCAACGCTCATCCTGATCGAAGTGTGCCTCCCCACGACGAGGGAGGAAGGCATGAGCCAGGGCGCCTCCTGCAGACACCCAAAGGCAGCAGATCAGTAACAAGTCCTTGTAGGAGGCGGGTAGGGGTGAGCATAGGTGTTAGATTTACTGGGCAAGAGGACAATGCCCTCATTTGACAGTTGAGGAAACTGAGTGACTTCGCCCAAGGTCACACCAGAACTTAGTGGAAGAGGGAGAAGTTAATATAGGTTTTCTGGCTCAAAATCTGACTCTTTCACATCAAAATCTTGACTTCTGAAATCATCTAATCCTCCTTCATTACAAAGTGGGAAACTGAGACCTGGACAGATGAAGCAGCTTAACCAGCTTCACGTGGGTAATATGTGGGCAGAGTCAGGACTCAGTAGCCATGTCCTCCATGCTACTCGGTGGAAGGGAGTGGGGGGTCGGAGATTTGGAGTGATGGAAGATGTGGGGTGAAAGGAAATTCAGGATTTTTTGTTACTTCCATTCTACCATACCGGGAAAGGAGAACTAACAGAACCACTGAGGAAAGCAGGAAGGGATATGTTTGTAGCAAGCAGCACTTTCTTCTCTAGGGGAATGGAGGGAAAGCAAAGATGTGGATCACAGAAAAATGATTTCTATTTTGCTTTTCCACCTCCAGATACAAAGACTTTTATTTCTGATCCTATTTTGGCTCTGGATCATAGATTTTAATGAACTGATAGTCAGGGGAGATGGCCCTAGGAGAGGAATGGGAGGTGCTAGCCTGGGATTAAAATTTTCCAGTTTATTAAGTATAATTCCCAAAGCGAGAAGTCACGTAGTGGGTTGAAAACTGACCTGGTTCATTGTGCCTCTTACATGTACTGGCTGTGACCCCGGGAAAGTCACTGAACCTCTAAGATACTTTCTGAGACTAAATTGCATTGGTTAGCGGGAGTTCCCTCCTCTGGGAATTCTGGGTAGCAATGAAGTCACAGGACCAGAGACCCATCCCCTCAATCTGTAAGGTGGGTAGAGTCCTCAGGGGAACAGATTACTGTGAACTGCTTGAGAGTGCTTAATACCTCACCCTCAATAAGACAACACTTCACAAGCTTTCAAAGCCTCCATAACCACATGGAGGTAGCTAGGAAGGATGTTATAATCCCCATTTTGTTGTTGTTCATTCATTTTAGTTGTGGCCAACTCTTCGGGACCCCATTTGGTGTTTTCATGGCAAAGATACTAGAGTGGTTTGCTATTTCTTTCTCCAGGTTTCACAGATGAGGAAACTGAGGCAAACTGGGTTAAATGAGTTATCCAGGGTCACACAGCTAGTAAGTGTCTGAGGCCAGATTTGAACTCAGGTTTTGCTGACTTCAGGCCTGGCATTCTATCCACTGCACCACCTAAGAGCTCCCAATTCCCATTTTAGAGATTAGCAAACTGCAGGGGTTTGCTGACAAGGTCCAGTGACTTGTCCAACATCATACAGATAATAACACAAACCAGTAGAAGTGTTGTGAAAAGGGCAACAAAATGAGAGTCAGGGAACCTAGGTTTGAATCCTGGCTCTGCAATTTATAATTTCTGATCTTGGCTACGTCACTTAGAGCCTTTCTAAGGGCAACGAGGTGGTTCAGGACTCAGGAAGATCTGACGCTTCGAAGTTGTGTGACCTTAGGCAAGTCACATAACCTCTCTTTGCCTCAGTTTCCTCAACTGTAAAATGGGAATGATAATAATAGCACCTGCCTCTCAGGGTTGTTGTGAGGATCAAATGAGGCAACATTTGTAAAGTGCTTAGTAAAGGGCTTGGTACATAGTAGGCACTTAAATAATGTCCTTCTCCCTCCCTCCTTTCCTTCATTCCTCCCTCCTTCTCTTCATTCCTCCCTCCTTCCCTTACTTCTTTCCTTCCTTCCTTCCATCCTTCCTTTCTTCCTTCCATTCTTCTTTCCTTCCTTCCTTCCTTCCTCTCTCCCTCCTTTCTTTCCATCTCCATGAATCCTATCACATCCATCCTCTTCTCTCCACTCCCATGGCCACCACTCAGCTTGAAGCCATCATCCCCTCTCACAGGCTTCAGTTGGATCTTTGCAGCCCTTTAAGCTCTGACTGGAGCCACCCAATGTTCAGGCTTACTATGCAATTACTCCCTTTCGTGTCCTCTAGATTCCAGCCAAAGTGGCTGATTTTTACTGTTCCCTGGCTGCCCTCCCTCGTCTTTGCGCCTCCCACTCCACCTTGCCTCCTATGCACTCCTTTCTCACCTCTACCTCTTAGAATCCCTAGCTTTGTTCAGTTCTCATTGATTAATAAGCATATATTAAGCACCCACTGTGTGCCAGGCATGTGCTAGGTGCTGGAGATTCAAAGACAAAAAATGAGAGTCTCTGCCCTCATGGAGGTTACATTCATTTCAGGGAGAAAGCAGGCACACATATAAATGTACATGAAATTCACAACTGGGGGGTGGGGGAGAGTATGCTCTAGACTTTTCCCAATCTTGACTTGAGTCACAATCCCATGGTCAAAAGTGAGGATGGGCAGATCTGATGGGAAAGACAGGAATCACACGAGGCGATGCAGGAGGTCAAGAAGCATGTATGGGGATGAAACCTGTTTACATTCTCACCCCAAAGGGACAGAGCAGAGAAAGGCCTAGTGGTTTAGTGGAAGGAGGGTTTACTTGGAATTAGGAAGACTGAGGTCTGAACCTTACCTCTAAGGCTTACTAACTGGGCAGATCAATGAATGCCCCTGAACCTCCAAAAACGGGTCTAATCCTATCCACAGTACTTGCAGGATTGAGGCTCAAATGAAATAATGCACGTCCAGCGGTTTGGAGACTTTAAGGCATAATATAAACAGCCCGTTATCATAATTTAGGGGGAGAGAGTGGAGTGGGGGGGGGGAATGAAGCCCAGACTGGCCTTCCTTCCCTTGTAGGGGAAGGGAGGTAGGACCACCATCTCCAAGTCTCTGACAGGTGATTTTGAGAAGAAAGGGATTCTGCAGCTCTCCATCTCCACAGAGGATGGAACAGTAGGGAAAAAGCTAGATGGTACCAGGAAAGACTCCAGCATGATGACAGGAAGAACGAGCCCTGAGTGTGGGGTCAGACTGAAACGACTAAACAGCAACAGCAATGTTGTGGGGCAGAGAATCTTCATCCTGGAGGGGTGGCCAGATTCCTCATTGAGAATGTGGGGAGGGGACCGCTAGGAGTCTACTCTGTTGGCTTTTTTCTAAGCTAAAAGGAAATGGCCCAACGTTTTGAGATCAGCTTTGTGGATTTCATTCACTCTTGGAAGAGGGGCAAGGGACAGTCGCACCTAATGGTAGAAGGTACAAAGTGTTGTAAGGCTCCCCAGGCTGGAGACTTATGCCCAAATGTGTGTGTATGTTTGTATGGGTGTGTGAGCATTTATATATACATCTACGTGTACATATGTGTGTGTATATGTACACATGTACATGCATTTGGACTTTTCATTGGTGCAGCCATGCCTTCCCACCCCCCTTGCTGCTCCTGGCCAGAGACCCCTCACCCACCTTTCCTCTAGGGCTAAGGGACAGGGGCAGGGGATTTCCCAGGGGAAGGAGTTTAAGAGAGAGGCTTACAGGGAGGAGGAAGGAGTCAGCACCTGGCCCATCAAAAGCGTTGCTGAGCCCATCATTGTGATCACCCTGGAAGAAGGTGAGGCGTATGTCGGCAGGAACTGACTCGGGGGCTTCCCAGAACTCCAGAGAGGACACGTTGCTCCACACCTGGAAGGCCGCCTGTACGGCCCGACGCATCGCTGACTCTGGCAGGTACTGGGGCCAGTTCACCAGGCGGTAGGAAAGATGGCGCTTGTACCATTTGCCTCCTCCTGGAGAAAGAGTCAGAGAATTGGACATTAGCCTGATTATGCATGGAATTCTCTGGCATGCACGGCCCTGTCCTAGGGTTTGGGGAGAGGAGTCTTGATAGGGTGGAAGGAACTGATGTGGGTGAGGCAAGAGACCCCAGCTCTGCCACCTACTCCTTCCCTGATCTGGGGCAACTCACGGCCTCTCTTGTAGGGACAGCTAGTGGATGGAGTGCTAGGCTCAGGGAGACCTGAGTTCAAGTCCTGCTTCAAATACTTACTAGCTGTCACTTAAACTGAGCAAGTCACTTAAACTCTGCCCACCTCAGTTTCCTCTTCTGAAAAATGGAGATAACAATAGCGTCTACCTCCCAAGGGTGCTGTGAAGATTAAATGAGATAATATTTATAAAGCACTTAGCCCAGTGCTGGGTATTCAGTAGGTGCTTAATTAATGCTTGCTTGTTCTTTCTTTTCTGGGCCACAGATTCCAAATTCCAGATTTTCAAAATCTGGTTTGGAATGCTGAATCACAAGAAAAATCAGTATTTGCCCCAGAGAACAGCAGTTGAAGTGTTCCTCTCTCCTCTTGACAGAGAAGTGAGAAGCTACAGGGCAAGAATGTTGCATACTTGGCCAAGCTGGTCACTACATTTTGATGAACTGTTTTTCTAACCGAGCTTTCAGTTTAAGGGCTAGGGAATGATTAAGATTTAAAATCAAAGAGCGGCAATAAAACCTATCATTTTTAAAAATGATGATCTAAGGGGAAGCTAGCATGGATAGAGTGGATAGAGCACTGGCCCTGAAATCAGGAGGACCTGAGTTCAAATCCGGCCTCAGACCAAACACTTGACACTTACTAGCTGTGTGACCCTGGGCAACTCACTTAACCCCAATTGCCTAAAAAATAAAAAAGTTAAAAAAAAATGATGATCTATTCTATAACACACAGGAGATGGGGCCCCTTCTCTAGTATGATGCTAGGACAGGCCCAGGTATGTAGGTTAACTCCAAGGTGTTGAGGGCTAACTACCCAACCCCATCTTCTCCCCTCTCCTATTCCTACCTGGGACTGACCAAGTGGGGCTGGGGGTGGTTTTCATTCTTTATCTATGTTTCTTTCCAGCTGAGATCCCCGCTCCAGTCCATTCTTTCAAAACGCTAGGTAGGTGGCAAGTGTGGGGGTGGGGGGAGGGTAGAGGAGTAGAAAATGCACAGCTGCAGATCCCCAGCTGTTTCCTCTGTCTCCTCTGCTGCCACCACCCCTCTCCTCCCATTTACAGGATCCCTGGCCTGTGGCTGCCCTGGGAACCACAAGAAAAGCTCATTGTCAATTTTTCAGCCCCCTCAAACACCCTACCCTCTTTGCCTCTGTGGGATTCATCTGGGAAGCCTGGGATCCCTGAGGAGAGACAGAGAGAGAGAGAGAGAGAGAGAGAGAGAGAGAGAGAGAGAGAGAGAGAGAGAGAGAGAAAGAGAGAGA